GTAGGGAAACTGGCATCCTCACACTTTGCTGGTGGGATTGAGTGCAGTCACTTTTGAATGCAGTTTGACAGTTTCCCAGAATGTTAAAGGGAGATCTACCATATGATGCAGAAATTCTACTCCTTGGCACATACCTAAGAGAACTGAAAACATAGGTCTATACAAAAACTTACACACATATATTCATAGCAACATTACTCCTAATACTCAAAAGGTGAAAATAATCCAAATTCCCATGAAATGTTGAATGCATAACCAAAAGGTGGTATGTTTATACAATGGAATATTATTTGGCAATAAAAAGAAATGAAGTATTGAATGCTACAACATGGATGAACCTTGTAAACATTATCCTAAGTGAAAGAATTCAGTCACTAAATGCCACATATTGTATGATTCCATTTATATTAAATGTGCAGAGTAGGCAAATTTATAGAGACAAAAAGTAGATTAGCGGTTGGCAGGGACTTGGGGGGTGCAGGGAATGGGGAGTGACAGCCAATGGATATGGGGTGATGAAAATATTCTGGAACTAGATAGTGGTTATGGTTGCACAACTCTGTGAATACACTAAAAACCACTAAACTATACATTTTGAAAGTGTGAGTTTAATGGCAAGTGAATTATATCTCAAAAAAGCTATTGTAGAAAACAAAGCATAGTTATGAATACACTGTATATGCTTTAAAACAATAATTTCCAATATTACTTTTTACTTTTTAGTTTATAATTCCAGACTAACTTAATTTTTAGATATTTGTGGGTCCACAGATCATGTAGAAGATAAGAAGAATGAAACCTCACTAGTCGTAACTATTAATACGTGAAGGGAAGGCCAAATGGAAATGTTGCAAATCAAAATTTTTAAGTAAATGGTGTTTTAATTCTTCCAAATACATACTGAAGTTACAAGACATTGTTAATTGTGAAGTTAAATTTGCTAGTGATTTAAATGAATAAAAAATGACTAATAATTATCTCAATCCACTTATCCAACCGATCAATGTTTCATTCTTTCATCTGCACCAACAGACTTGTTCATTTTTAAACAAATGGGTACCTTATAAAATGCTTGAATACTATTTTACTAAGTAGGTTAAATATGCCCCTGAAATCTAATATATGATGTTTACTTGCCTAGCAAGCCCTTCTTTAAAAGATAATTGTACCTAACAATTTTATATTGCTTTACAGTTTATAAAGCACTTTATATATATTTTATTCCTCAAAATAAAACCCTGGGCCCAACCTTGACTCTTCCCCTCTCCCTGCCACATTCAGTCAACTAGTTACAAAGTTCTGTCCAATTTAACCCTCAAATATCTCTCCAAGCTGCTGACCTCTCCCCATCCTCACTGCACCATCCCAGTCCAAGTTCCCACCATGTCTATCCTAGATTCTGCAGTGGTCCCTGATTGCACATTCCCTCTTATACCAACTCAAGCCATTTTTATAAGCAAGCATTATTTTTTATACAAATCTGATCATGTCACTCCCTTCTGAAAATTCACCATATTGTCCCTGTCACTCTGAAGATAAACCCCAAATCTCCAGAATGGTTTCCTAGGTGCTACCCCTACATATTCTGGCATCTGGATGCTCTCTCCAGCCTCAGTGGACACCACTGTCTCCCTGACTCTCTGGACTAGTCACACTGGATTTCCTTTAGTCCTGCAGAATGCTGCATGCCTCAGGGCCTTTGCATCTGTAATTCCCTCTGCCTGGAATGTATTTCCATTTATTTCTGGTTTATTCTTTTTCATCATTCAGGCCTCAGCTTAAATGTCACCTTCTCCGGGAAGCCTTCCCATCATCTTATTTCAGCCTGTGAACCTTGCTATATTTCTTCTCAATGAACTTCCTCTTTTAGCACTCATCAAAATGGTAATTAATGCTTTTTATTAATGTTAAAAGATAACAACCTTCTTTCCCTCTCCCACTATTTCTCTATAGTGGGCTCCTTCTCATCTCTAGATCCAAGCTTAACTGTCACTTTTCAAGTGGGTGCAACTGTATGAAGAAGGCATATCTCCCCACTCCCATATTCTTTTATTTACTAATTATTTCCTCCCTGTTTTCTTCTCTAGAATGTAACCATCATAAAAGCATATGTGACTTGCTCATTGCTGGATTCCCAGAGTCTAGAACAGTGTCTGCAGCATGTTAGGTGCTCTGTGAACATGTGTTAAATGAATAAATGAATGAACCCTATGAGTCAGGCAGGGCAGATACTGATAGTTTTATAGATGGAGAAATGGAGTTTAGAGACATGCAGTAAAGTGTGACTTCACTTCTGTCTCTAGTAAAGGGCAATGCCAGAATTAGAACCCAGACGGTCTTACTTCTAATCCTATGTCCTTAATTCAGGTGAAATTTGGGCTCCTGGCTCTATTTAAATAATTTGAGAGTCATCACTTTTTTGCCTGACACCCAACTAGACATATGATGCTTCATTGGAGAAGGTGTAATGAGTGATCAGATTAGCCTGGAGCTATTTTATTCCATGGGATAGTGTTAGAGGTGGGTTTTTTGTTTTTTTTTTAAGGGAGGAAGGGGAGGTGAGGGATGGTTTTGGTTTGTTTTTGCTTTTTTTATTTTTTTAAGATGGGACAAGTTTACAGATTAATCATCAGGCATATAATCAGGCTTTAAGAAGTTAAGTATGTTATGATTGACAACTTATTTTATTTGTTAGTGACCTCCCTTAATTATGTATTTAATTCATAAGGCCAAAACATTACACATAAATTGGCATGAATGAGAAGACAGAAAACAAAAGTCTTCTCACCAAGCATCTCTTATATGAAAAGAGGCCTTAAGAAGGGGGTAAAGCCAGGGCAGCAATGTATTTTTCATGCTGTGTCCAGCAAGAATGTCTTGTCGAAGGGCCATGTGAGGGCTAAATGCTACTCAGGTTCTGCTTGCCAAGCCCCTGGAACAGAGTTGCCATGCCCTGGAACAGAGCTGGGTCAGACCAAAAGAAAGATTCATCTGCGAAGGAGCACTTTTCCTTAATTCAGGTAAAGGTGCCCATGTGGTTCAGGGGCCCTGAGTATAAGCCCCACATCTCAGGGCTCTGGCTTGCCCCGCTGCATGATTGGAAACCCCATCAAGAAAGGAACTGGGGAGATGAACGCAGATCAAATCCTGAATGGGAGCATGGGCCCAGGCTCTTTCAAACTCCAGAGTGCATCTGACTTAGAACTCCTGATAAGTCAGAAAACAGTACTCTGAGAAGCTAGAGTACTGCCCCCAATCCTGTTCACAGCAGTTCACATTCCGGTATGAGAACAGATAGGTGAACATTCCTGAGGTTGGTTATACCTAAAATTGGCTAATCTATTTTCTTCTACCTTCGTATTTATATTCCACATCTACTGGGTTCATGAATAACTAAATATCGTTACTGCAACCTCAGGTAGGTGACTTGTGTCAGGAGTTCATTCTCTACCTGGGAAATGTTCATTTTAAAATATTTACACAGGCCTGACACTTCTTGAACGTGTGTTGCAATGTAGGCAGTTCTCACAGAAAAGAATTCTCGGCAAAGCTTTGCTTGCTTGTACCCACTTCTCTTGTTGAGGGGCCACCTTGGGAAACCGCATCTGTGTTTATGCACCACTGTAGTTCTGCATCTTCCTGTTAGAGAGGGTGTGCAGGTGAGGCTGAAGGGAGCATTGCAGAAACACCTGGGCTTGGCTTTGCCATTGGGTGGTGATGAAATTGCTGACAAGTTATTAACCTTCTGAGTGTCAGTTTCTTCAATAAAATGAGGATTCTGGCATTTGTTTGACTTACCTATCAGATGGGTTGCGAGGATCAAATGCAAGATGTATAAGAAAAATCCTTGGACATGACCAAGTTCTACACTAGGTGTAATAATAGTTGCAACAGAAGCAAACTTCTTGGAAATTATGTCTTTTTTCCACTTTAGACCAAATTGTTTATCTTTATGTTGTGAATCATCCCCACATGGAGTCCACTGTGGAGATATTCAAATTTGAGGAACAACAACGTTTTCTGGTACACCTGAAGACTATAAAACACGAACTTCTCAAAAGGTATGGAATTAAAGTATTTAATTTGCGCCCCTGCTGTATGCTTTGTTTTCTTTAGTTCACAGCCTTTGTTAAACTTTTGTTTTGAAGGTTTTTCTTCTAAAGCTTTCTAAAGGTTCTCATGGTGACACTGCCCAGCACCTCACTAGAAATTGCTGTATTCGGTATTGAATATCTTTATATTCTCCAACTTTTTGAAAGCATTTTAACCCTATAAAGTTGCTCTAATTCCATCCTCCGTAACACAACAGCGCAGAACCTGCTATTGGGCTCTTTAAACACCCACACCCTTTAGTTGTCCTGGTAGGTTGTATTCTGAAAGCCACACCCATTGGGTGTTATAACCAGCCTCCAGAAGGACCATTCCTTTGTTCAATCACAGTTTTAAAGTAACATTTGAAAAAAAGGCCTGTAGGCATATATAAAAATTCACATTTATTAAGTATTGGCTATGTGCCAGGCACTGTGCCAAAATCCCTAATTCCCTTTCACTCTCACAACTGCCTTTAGTAATAGGCATGAGTAAACAGAGACTTAGGGCAGTTTGGGGTAAGTTACTTACCCAAATTACATAATTTGTAAGTGGTAGAACTAGGTTGTAAACCTTGACCCATCTGAATTCAAAGCTGGGCTCTTAATCACTGTGGTGAACAGCTTTGAGAAAAATTGTAAGTTTTTTACTGGCTAGGTTGCCTGTTTCAAGCCTGTAACGAACAATGAAGAATCTTTTACAAAATGGATTCAACGCTGAAAGACTGGTTCTAGAACAGTAGAGGTTAATCTTTCCATGAGGTAGAAGAGTAGGGAAA